CTGTGTCGCCTGTTCGTGCTGCTCGCACTAGTGGTCGTGCTCCGCGTCCGCGTCCTCCTGCGGTCCCAGGCACACACTAGATGGCACTGCGCCCTTCCACTGCTCCTCTGCGTGTCCCGTTGCCGTCTCCTCCAGAGTCCTCTCTTCCTGTTCTTGCTGACCCGGAGTCTAACTCTCTTCGTGCTGACAGTCCTACTGTCATGCGTCGCCTGGCCGCTGTTGTCACTGACCCTTCGTTTGAGTCAAGTGCTGCGTCTGCCTTAGTTGCTGAGCTTGTCGACTTTGCTGCTCGCTGTCGTCTAGACTACGCCGCTAGTCTCGTTGCTGAGTCTGAGTCTGTCTGTCCTCCGTCCGTCGGGGGTGAGTGTGCTCTTAGCACGGACGTCCTTGAGGACAGGCAGGAGGAGTTCTAGTGTTTTGCTGCTGCTTTGCCTCATCTCGTGTCCATGCTGATTGCCCCTGAGGGAGACCCGGATGCACCAGACATCCCGACTCCTCGATCATACGCTGAGGCAATCGAGGGTCCCTACTCCTCACAGTTGCAATCAGCCATGGACGCAGAGATGGCTTCCTGGAAGTCCACAGGCACTTACGTCGACGAGGTTCCCCCACCTGGGGCGAACATCGTCAATGGCATGTGGATTTTCAGGGTGAAGCGGCCGTCGGGTTCTCCGCCTGTCTTCAAGGCGCGTTACGTGGCTCGACGCTTCAGTCAGCGGCAAGGAGTTGACTACTTTCAGACCTTCTCCCCCACCCCGAAAATGACCACTCTTCGGGTGCTGCTGCACATAGCCGCTCAGCGCGACTACGAGCTTCACTCTCTTGACTTCAGCACAGATTTCTTGCAAGGCAGCCTGCACGAGGAGACCTGGCTGCGCCGCCCACCTGGCTTCATTGGGTCGTTCCCTCCTGGTACCCAGTGGAGCCTCCGGCGGCCAGTCTACGGTATCCGCCAGGCGCCCCGTGAGTGGCAAGACACACTGAGGACTACACTTGCGGCTCTTGGGTTTGCGCCTTCTACTGCCGACCCGTCGCTGTTTCTGCGCACCGACACCTCTTTGCCGCCGTTCGACATCCTCGTGTACGTCGACGACTTGGTCTTTGCCACTGCTGACACTGCTGGACTCACCCACGTGAAGTCCGAGCTGCAGAAGAGACACACGTGCACAGACCTTGGTGAACTGCGCAGCTACCTTGGTTTGTAGATCACCCGGGACAGAGCACAGCGCACCATTACCCTGGCTCAGTCACACATGATGCAGCAGGTCCTTCAGCGCTTCGACTTCACGTACTCCTCGCCTCAAGCCACTCCTCTGTCTACTCGCCACTCGCTCTCAGCTCTGCCTTCGGTTGAGTCCGTAGAGCCGAGTGGCCCGTACCCAGAGCTTGTTGGCTGCCTCATGTACCTGATGACCTGCACACGACCTGACCTAGCATACCCTCTTAGCATCTTGGCATGCTATGTTGCTCCTGGGAGACACCGACCAGAGCACATGGCTGCAGCGAAGAGGGTGTTGCGCTACTTGTGCAGTACGTCGGGCATGGGGCTAGTGCTTGGAGGGCGCAGTCCAGTGGTCCTCACTGGGCATGCAGACGCTTCTTGGGCTGACGACCAGGCTACGCAGCGGTCGTCACAGGGTTACACCTTCGGCCTTGGTTCCGGCTCTGTTTCGTGGCGGTCTACCCGCTCGTCTTCTGTTCTCGGCTCCAGTTGTGAGGCTGAGATCTACGCGGGGGCCATGGCTGCACAGGAGCTACACTGGCTCACCTACCTGCTGACTGACCTAGGAGAGCCGCCTCGTTCTCCTCCAGTTCTGTACGTAGACAACAAGGCCATGCTGGCCTTGTGTCGGGAGCACAGACTGGAGCACAGAACGAAGCACATTGCTCTTCGCTACCTCCTTGCTCGTGAGCTGCAGCAGCGTGGTCAGCTGCGCCTTGCTTACGTGGCCTCTCAGGCCAACATTGCTGATATCTTTACCAAGGCACTTCCGCCTTGTGATCATCAGCGCTTCTGTACGATGCTAGGTCTTGTGCCTACTTGGCCTCACTTGCTCACTTCTTGACCTTGGTTGTACTGTGATCTTTCTATACCTGCACTTGATTGTTTACCTTCATATATGATCTTGCATGTGAACTGGCCTTGTGGCCTTGCTCTTGTGCTCGGACTATGTGGTGACGTTGTGATCCACCCTGAGCTTGCTTTGCTTTGCTTGACTGGTCTTGTGACCTCTTGTTCTCCCCCCACTTTGCCTATGGGGGTGTCAAGATATGTTGCTAGGGTTTAGCCTTAGGAGCCATGCTAGGAGGTAGAGTGTGAGGGAGTTGGCAATGAAAGAGGACTTCACTATAGAGCTAAGGGTACAAATATGATAGGAAAGGGGGTAATCCACCAAACAGAATGTGATAACTACACTACTGCTATATCTACATGCAGTTACAATAATATAACTCTGACATCCCCCCTTAACTGCATGCAGGAATAGCAAAGCATAAATCACAACCCGCAAGTGTACTGAAAGCATTAGCACGCAAGAGCGATGACAACCAGTGCAGCAGTGGCAGAAACAACAGCAGAAACCCCTTAGCCAATACAGAAACGAAAGAAGGGTGCATGTGGCGCAGGTCGCCTGGAGAGCGGCGTGCGGCGGCAACAAGCGGCGGCACAGCAGGCTCAACGGCAGCACCTGCCGCTCAACAGCAGCAAACGAAAGAGACGAATTAAGTGGCAACAGGGGCTGCAGCTGGAGGTGCCACAGGAGCAGGGGGTGGCAGTTGCAAATGCAGGGCTGCTGCTTCTGCCACTCTCTCTCATACCCTCCTTTATCCCCCCTTACCCTCTCTCCCCCCCCCCTCCCCTCAGCAACAATTGCTGCAGGGAGAGAGGAAGAGGGAAGGGAGGGAGGAGCGGCAGGCTCCTCACACCCGCCCCCTCCCCCCAACCCCCCCCCCCCACGACGGAAGGGAAGGGCGGAATCACCCACTGCCGGCGCTGACGGTCGCGTTGGCGCTAGCGCTGGCGGCCGTCGCAGCTGCTGGCGGTGGCGCTGGCGGTCCGCGCAGGCGCTGGCGCTCGCGGCTGGCTGCAGCGTTGGCGCTCGCGGCTGGCCGTGGCGCTGGCGTCCGCGCTGGCGAAGGCGGATCGCGGGGCGACGGGGGGAGCGTGACGGACGAAAAGGGCGCACGGGCGCGACGCGAAACGAAGGGCCTGCAGAAAGCGAAAAACGGGACCCGCGGGGTTCGTCCACGGGGCGATTCGGGGGACCCGCGGGGCGCATTACGGGCGGCGCGACGGGTGGGCCCATGATCATTAAAAAAAATAGGTCCTCAGGAGAAATTCCTGCTCTGTACCATGTCAAGATATGTTGCTAGGGTTTAGCCTTAGGAGCCATGCTAGGAGGTAGAGTGTGAGGGAGTTGGCAATGAAAGAGGACTTCACTATAGAGCTAAGGGTACAAATATGATAGGAAAGGGGGTAATCCACCAAACAGAATGTGATAACTACACTACTGCTATATCTACATGCAGTTACAATAATATAACTCTGACAGGGGGTGTATCAAACCCATATGCTATAGTTTGTGTAGGCTGTAGTGGGGTAGACAATATGGGGTACAACACTTTTAGGTTTTCCTACTTGTACCCACCTGCTTGCTAGTTCATTCATTCCTAAAAAAAAATCATGAGCCATCGGATTCGACACCCCACGGAATTAGGAGGATTGAATTCCTCGTTCGCTGGAAGGATCGCACGCCAACTGAAGATAGCTGGGTGCCTCTGGCCAACATCGAAAACCACCCTGCCCTGCAAGTGTACCTGAGGAGCCAGGGTTTCCGCGATATACACGCACTCGCGTAGCGTGGGGGGCTTCTTGAAGGGGGGGGGGGGGGGGGGGGTAGTGTGAGGAATTTTCTCGATATTCCTTAGCGCGCCCTGCAACATCGCGTACTGCAGCAGCCGTTGTTCGCCCGTTACTGCTAACGGGGCATCGCCGACTTCGCGCGCACTGTTTCACCAAACATCGTACAGCTGGCCTGGCCATGTCGGCCTACGCTTCGGGACTAGCCCGAACCTCGCTGCCAGCATAGCACTAGCTAGCTCGCACGCACCGCGTTACCGTTTGCATGTTTCACGTATAAATGTTCGCTCATACCTTCGCTCATATTTTGTACTCGTTTGACACCTTAGTGCAATTCTATTTACTTAGATTCATTGCACCAAGGGGTCATTTATTACTGGTATGCGGAACAATAACCAGATGTGATCATGATCAATATACAACCTTCAACTTTGGTCCGTAGCGAACCAGGGGCTCCGCGGACCCTACCTAGCAGGTCGGCAAACTCTTGTACATCCCCGTGCGTGCTTCCGTTCGCGCCAAACTTGTTTCCCCCCGAAACCTCCAATCCCAGAGGCGTCACGACCACGGCTTGTTTCTTCACATCCACGCCCTTCAAAAGTCCGAATGTCGATATGTTATCAGGGAGAGAAGTTCGATTGCCAGAATCAAGTAAAGCAATCTATTTTGGCGATGGCTGCAAGTACAAATGCTATCTGTTAACACGACCGATGACGGCTTCTATCTGCTATCTGTTTCGTTTCGATCACTACTAGGAGTTTTATTTCTGTTTCATTTTTCTTTACTTCCCCCTTTGTTTATATCATTTGCTTGGAGGTGTGGCGCAAGCCTTGCTAACTCGGCTTTCCTGTACTTTGATCTGTTCCTTGTTGAAAAGCTCGGTCTCAGTCGCTTGGTCCGAACTCACTAGTCCATAACTCGTTTAAGCGCTCTCCTCGAGCTTTTTTCGCGCACTCGCTCGTGGACATTGTAGCGTCGAATCTATTCCCGTTCCGTCCCCCACCAAAACACCTCCTCAATCTTTACCGCAATGGAGGAATCACGACTTGGCTTTTCTCTTTTCCAGGCAGACTCTGCCCAATCCCCGCTTTACACGTTGCGCATACCATACTTTACCAGTACCAGCCCGCATAAGACTTCTATGACGACGTCTGCTGACCTGGAGTCCACGTCATACGTGTCCCTCGACTTATCCGTTCCTTCCTGGTGGCTTCCGGTCGCCCATGAAATTGCTTTCGCCGGTGACGCAGCAGAGTTAACGGAAGTCAAGGCGACGGAGGCACGGGCAGCTAAAAACGACAGCGATTGCGACGAATGCTTTCTAGTGCTTGGCGGGTCTGTTGTTGACGGGGATAGGCGACAGGCCGTGCCGGTTACTCGCCTTGAATTGCTCAACGAGCGCTTGCAGACGATCGAACGGCGCGCGGGCGCGCTAGATGAGCTCCTGGTGGCGATCCGACGGCTGGCGGAGAATCTAAAAGCGTCGCGAGGGTCAGGAGGCTCGGAGAAGGGTGGAGAGGACAAGAAGGAGGATAACGGTGGTGGTGGAAAAGGGAGAAGAAGCGGGAGTGCGGGAGAAGATGATTGTGAAGGGAATGGGGAGGATTTGGAAATGGAAGTTGACAGTGACGGAGGATTTGATGGTGCTGATGATAATGATGATGATGATTACAGTTATGGGGATTCTGGAGACGAGGATGCGATGGAGGAAGATGAAGAGGATGGCGATGACGACGACACCTTGTACGGATACGACGCGTTTCTGGAGGAAGATGACGGTATTACAGGCGCCAAGGAGGACGGCGAGGAGGGCTCGGATTGGGAATGGGGAGTGGGGCGATTCCACAGCGTCTCATCAGCTCCTTCATCAAGTGGAGATTCCGCCACTGGCGCGGATGGTCTGTCCTTGATAGAAGCAGAGGCGTTACAAGCACAGGCTGCGTGCCACGCCGCTTTTTCTGCCGTGCGCAGAGGGAAGAAGAGCCGGCCGAGTCCCAGAGGGGACCAGGACGAGCCATGGCAGCAAGGTGCGGGAGAGGCGGAGGAGCAGGAGGAGGCGGAGCGCGTGTTGCGGTGGTGCTCAGTGCGTAGCATGGGCAAGCGCGGCTTTGTGCGGTGCCAGATGGAGGTGGGCGGTGTGGTCAGCAACGTCAGAGCGCTCGCAGCTCTAGGCCTCTCCACCACCTCTCCCATTGTGATTACCCTGTACTTCACTGACCATGCCTGGCGCCTCCGCGCCTCGCACCCACACCAGCAGCAGCAGCACCACCACGCGCAGCACCATCACCAGCGGCAGCAGCAGAGTGGTGGGGAAGAGGCGACGTCCTTTCCAGAGCCTTCCCGGGTGGTGGTGTCGCAGCCAGCGGCAGAGGCGGGGGAAGGAGGAGAGCCGGGCAGCAGCAAGGGGGAGCAGAGGAGGCAGCGGCGGCAGGTTCTGATGCGAGTTCTTCTGGAGCAGTGCGTGGGGCACACGAGGAGCATCAGCAAGGAGTCTCTTGTCACTCCCGTTTCCGCCGCCACGGATGCTGCAGACGCTGCCATTGCTAGCAACAACAGCGACAGTGGCAAGGGTGGCAGCGCGGGGAACGCCGGTGTTTTATCTGGGATGAGCGAGGCTGCAATGCGTGCCACGTTGAAAAGGCTGGGCGGTTCGGATCCAGCGAAGACGGAAGCAGCAGCATCCGGCGCTTCACACTCTTCTGCGTCCACACGGGTGGGCGAGGGGTGGAGTGTGCAGCAGGCATTGGAGGCGCGGGTGCTGCAAGTGGTGGAGCAGGCAGACGAGCGCGTGGGGCAGGAGGCAGCATGCCGAGTGGGTGTGGACTCTCTTGTTCCTGCCGCTGTCACCTCCTTCTTTAAAGACCGCCACTCGCACGGGGGGGAAACGGGAGCAGAAGCGCGGGGTAAGAAGGGAGGACTGGGGAACGCGTTTGTAGGGCTGCTGGTGCACGTGGCGAGGCAGTTGCAGGCGGTGTGTGAGAGGTGCGTGATCTGCGGGCAAGCGCTGGCGCTCAAGACGCAGCGTGTGCGGCCATGCACGGACGACTTCTGCCTATACCGCTTTGAAGAGCTGGGTCTGGCGTCTGACATTCTCTCTGAGCTGCGATCCCTCCCCCTCGCCGTGCATCTGGACGTTTCGCTTGCTCTCGCGGCCGCCCAGGCCAGCAATCGGGATGTTTTTGAACCTTTCCCGTCGTTCCTGCTCTGCTCCGCCCAGCAACTCCGCGGCCGCTCCGGCTGGTTCTCCTCCCAACCCTCTGCTACTGCTACTGCCACTGCCACTGCCACCGCAACCACAGCCACTGTTGTTGCTCTTGCTGCTGCCGCCAGTGCTGGTGGGGGCGGGGTGGGGGGAGGGGGCGTAGGCATTGGGGGGCATACAAGGGGAGCAGCCATGGGAGAGGAGGGGGGGGAGAGGGGCGGAGTGCAGAACAAGCGGCTGTCAGTGCTGGCCAGCGTTTTGCAGACTCTTCCTCCTCTGGCTGCCTTGCAGCAGTGCGAGTCGGAGTGGGAGCTTAAGGTGCTCCTCGCGGCCTGCTGGATCATTCGCTCTGCTGCGGTTCGCAAAGCCTTAGAGGCAGAGGAGGCTGAGAAGGCTAAGGTTGAAAAGGAGGCGGAAGAGGAGGGTGCAAGGGTGAAAGCTGACAGTGTGGCAGCAGGATTGGCAGGGGCAGGGGCAGCTGGCGAGGGAGAGGGGGGAACTGGTGCGTCGGAAGCTGGAGCGGGAGCAGGAGCGGTGGGGCGAGGAGAAAAAGCTGCAGCAGTAGTGCCCGCAGCGAGGAAGGCAGCAGCAGCCGAGCCAGCAGCAGGAAAGGCAGCAGCGAAGGGCGGAGATGGTGGGATGAGTGGGGAGCAGCGGGTGCTGGCGGACGTGCTGCTGCCATACCGTGTGCTGCGATTTGTGGTGAGCACCAGCCGTCTCACTCTGCTCAAACTGGACGGCACTCCAGCCACCACCAACCAACCCCCACAGCAGCAGCAGCAGCAGCAGCAGCGCTCACAGGGCGCCAAGCACCAGAGCAAGCGGAAGCAGCAGCAGGAGCAGCAGCATTCCGAGAGCATTCCGTCGAGTTTGGACGAGCGCTCATCTCCTGCGACTTGGGGCGAAGGAGGCGAGTGGGCGTGTGCAGGGCTACCCCTCTCCGCGTGCCACCAGCTCGCAGTCTTTGCTGACGGTTGCCCCAAGCAGGCCCAGTTCGAGCGCCTCCGCCAATCCAAGGGCTCCTTCTTTGCCTTCCACGGCAGTTCCACCTTCAACTGGTTCTCCATTCTCAGGAACGGGCTTCGCAGCATGAGCAACACAGGGTATATGTCCACTGGGGCTGCGTATGGTTCTGGAATCTACCTCTCCCCGCATTTCGAAACCTCGTATGGATATTCTGGGCGTGGGTATGCGGAAGGGAATGGGGGGGTTTGCTGTGTGGCGATTTGCGAGGTGGTGCATTCGCCTGCTGCTAGGGGTCGGCCATACGAGAGCATTGCGCCAGGACATGGGAAGACGATGGAGGAAAGAATGTATGATGAGGAAACGTTGGTGGATGAGGGGAATGGGGTTGGGAAGGACAGTCCAGCGGAGGGAGATACAGGGATGAATGTGGATGTTACTGCTGGTGCTGGCGGTGCTGCTGCTGCTTCGTCTGTTGGTGGTGCTGGTTCTGCTGCTGCTGCTGCTGCTGCTGCTGCTCCTTCTACTGCTGCTCCTTCTACTGCTGCTGCTGCTGCTGCTGCTGGTTACCCTAGTCGTCGCAGTACAAACCCCGGAGGTAGAACTGCGGGTCAGGAGCTGCAGCGTGGGAGTGGAATAGTGGTGGTGGATCCAGGGTATGAAGAGCATGTGTGCATACGTTTCCTCCTGCTACTCCCCCCAGGTTTCAACCCTGCTCAGCATGTTAAGCATGTGACAGCAGGCACGACAGGAACAGGCTCAGCAGCAGGAGGAGCAGGTGGTACTGCTGCTGGTCGCTGGGGGGGTTATGTGAGGGGAAGTGACGGAGAAAGTCCGATGACTATTACAGGGGGGCGGATGCTGCTGGGGGTGGATCTTAGGCAGGCGCACGCTCGTGCGTTTGCGGCATGGCAAACAAGGCGGAGAGATGCGTTTGAGAGGAGGCAGAGGGATCGGCTGATGGCTCTGGCGGATGAACGGCCGGAGGAGGACGAGATGAGGGAGAGGAAGTGGGAAAAGGAGAGGGAGAGTGAGAGGGAGAGGGAGAGGGAGAGGGAGAGGGAGATGGGGAGGGAGAGGGAGAGGAAGGCGCAGGAGCAGGTGGGCAAGCGGGGTACAGGAAGAGCACCGGACACGAAGAATACGACTCCTGGAGCAACGAACGCGATTCAGAAGGAGTATCGAAACATGATGAGGCTCCAGGTGGGTTTGCTTCTAGGTGGTTCTTGTGAGGAAAGGATTGTATCTGAGGAGGTGTGGTAGGAATTTCACGGCTATCCTTCCTTCTTTGCGTGATAGCACACCCACAGAAGAAGGGTCGCTGACGTGTGTGTCTTTGTTCCCTATGTGGTGCTCGAGCCACAAAATCACACATTGCAGCCACACCCTGTATGGCTCACCTTTGGAATCACTATTGTAGCTCGCCTCCTCGACACACCACTCTCCAACCCCATCCCCTTTTCCCCCTTCCCATCCCCCTGGACATAGATCAAGGCGCCTCAGCTCTCTCATGCACTCATTTCCTTTTGGCCTTCCCGACACGGAACAGAACTTCATGCTCAACCCGTTTCATCTCTCTCTCTCTCTCTCTCTCTCTCTCTCTCTCTCTCTCTCTCTCTCTCTCTCTCTCTCTCTCTCTCTCTCTCTCTACACCCCCTTTCCCCTCCCCATCCATCCCCCCACAGTCTCGAGGCCACAGCTCCCTGCCCACGGGTTCCTTCACGCTCTCTCTTCCCAACGACGAAGACCTCTATGCGTGGCGCGTGCGCCTCTCCCCCCTCGTCTTCAAGGACACGCCCTTCCACTCGGAACTAGCTCAGATTCGTGTTAGCACCACCGCCACTGATGGAGTTGGCGCTGCTGGTGCTGGTGGCATTGCTGGTGCTAGGGGCAGCAACGAGCATGGGGTGCAGGGGAGTGACGCAGATACAAGTTTTTCAGGAACAGGAGAGGGAGCAGGAGCAGCAGCAGTGGCATCACCAGCACAGGAGGCAGGGGTGGAACTGGAGATTCGGTTTCCGGGTGGGTTTCCTTTCGATCCTCCGTTTGTGCGAGTGGTCTCTCCGCGCTTTGCCTTCCACACCGGTCACGTCACCGTGGGAGGTTCTATCTGCATGGAGCTGCTAACCCAGTCTGGCTGGTCTCCTGCCTACTCTCTGGAGTCTCTTCTTGTGCAACTGATTGCAAACATGGCTGCAGGAGGAGCGAGGGTGGATCCACGATATGTGCGTGCAGGCAGGTGTGGGTGCAGGGATGGTCCCCATGCAGGCGGGTGCTACTCTCTTGCTGAGGCTAAGGATGCGTTTGTTCGAGTGGCTGGCCAGCATGGTTGGAAGGTGTGAGTGGTGGAGGAGGTGGAAGGGGTGGGGAGGGGAGAGGCTATGAGAGGCTGATTCAATGGTGGAATGCCTTGTCTGCGCTGGCATGGCAGCAAGGCTTTGGTAGACACGATGGTGTAGATTAGGATTGAACATGCGTGCTTCGTATCATTGTTGCTTGATAGTTTCGTATAGTCAAACTTTTGAAACGAGGGGGTTCTTAGGGCATGTTCCCACAGCCCCTTATTAGGGCTTTCTCATGTCAAATTCGCAAATTTGTTGTTTGCGCGTTATACAATACCTCGTCAAACTACTACCGAACCTAGAACACGCATGAATGAAATCTATCGTACGGCATCGCTAGCAGTGTGGCCGCAACTATGCACGGCCAGTGTACACACATGAACCAAGGCCCAAAATATCAGGGTAAAAATACCCCTTATGCCCTTTTTGTGGGCCGTTTTTTTCAAATATCGTTTCGAGCTTCAGGAACATGGTGATTTCTTTGTTTCGCTAATATGTTTTTTTGTGCATCTCTCTCCCCTCCCCTCCAGAGTGTGAGACAAAGGTCACAAACTTCTGGAAGTTTGTGTGACACACCCACCGACAGTACAACACAACATCGGCAAGCAATGGATTATAAATGCGGACATGTACATCAACAGTACATCAATAATACCACCGTGGCTCGAGATGCCAGCCGAACGTACCATCGAGGAGGTGGGGGTCCGCTCCGTGCCCATCCGCAGCGGTGGCTATAAAAAAGAACAGGTGACGGCCATGCTCGCCTGCACCGCAAGCAGCGAGAAGCTCAAGCCTTGGGTCTTTTTCAAGCGCAAAACCGTTCCCAAGGGGAATTTCCCCTCAGATAAGCTAAGCATCATGTGTGGCGGTATCTGTGTTTATTTTAAGGCCTTGCGATTAATTGTGTACTGGGTCTTGATGGGCAAATGTGGTGCTCGCCGCTCATCTCAACGGTTGGAAGGACGCAGACGGCGTCATCGCGTGGCTCGACGAGACGGTGAAGCCGTACGTCAATCGGAGATTCTGAGTCCGCAGCAGGAAGGCAATGCTGATTCTTGACTCTTACCGCGGGCACTTGACTAACAAGGTGAAAGCGAAATTCGGCGAGCTGAACATCGTACCCGCCGTCATTCCTGCTGGATGAACCTCCGAGATCCAGCCCCTTGACGTCTCAATAAACCGCTCATTCAAAGTATCAGTCCGACAGTTGTACCAGGAGTGGTTCAAGAACGAGGGGGTCGACTGTCTGACCGAAAGAGGTGAGCACTAAACACCCCGCTTAGTTATGTTTGCTTACGGTAGTTCTTGAGAAAATGAGAACGAGAATGAATGAACTATGAGTGAAGTGGGTACAAGTACTAACCCTAATTGGGTTGTACCCCCAATGGAATACCCCACTACAGCCTACACAAAAGCATAAGCTATAATGTTCTGACACACCCCCATAGGCAAAGTGGGGGAGAACAGGAGGTCACAAGACCAGTCAAGCAAAGCAAAGCTAAGCAAAGCTCAGGGTGGATCACAAAGTCACCACACATTCCGAGCACAAGTACAAGGCCACAAGGCCAGTTCACATGCAGGAGTACATATATATATAAGGCTAGACAAGCAAGAGCAGGTATATATATATGTAACAGTACAAGCAAGGTCAAGAGGTGAGCAAGTGAGGCAAGACATGTACAAGACACAGCTGGGTGCAGACGCGCTGATGATCACAAGGCGCAAGTGCCTTGGTGAAGACATCAGCAGTGTTGGCCTCAGAGGCCACGTACGCAAGCCGCAACTCATCACACTGCTGTAGCTCACGAGCAAGGAAGTAGCGGAGAGCAATGTGCTTTGTTCTGTGCTCCAGTCTCTGCTCTCGACACAAGGCCAGCATGGCCTTGTTGTCTACGTACAGCACTGGAGGGGAACGAGGCGGCTCTCCGAGGTCAGTCAGCAGGTAGGTGAGCCAGCGAAGCTCTTGTGCAGCCATGGCCCCAGCGTATATCTCAGCCTCACAACTGGAGCCGAGAACAGAAGACGAGCGAGTAGCCCGCCACGAAACAGAGCCGGAACCAAGGCTGAAGGTGTAACCCTGTGACGACCGCTGCGTAGCCTGGTCGTCAGCCCAAGAAGCGTCTGCATGCCCAGTGAGGACCACTGGACTGCGCCCTCCAAGCACTAGCCCCATGCCCGACGTACTGCACAAGTAGCGCAACACCCTCTTCGCTGCAGCCATGTGCTCTGGTCGGTGTCTCCCAGGAGCAACATAGCGTGCGAGAATGCTAAGAGGGTATGCAAGGTCAGGTCGTGTGCAGGTCATCAGGTACATGAGGCAGCCAACAAGCTCTGGATACGGGTCACTTGACTCTACGGACTCATCCGAAGGCAGAGCTGAGAGCGAGTGGCGAGTAGACAGAGGAGTGGCCTGAGGCGAGGAGTACGTGAAGCCGAAGCGCTGAAGGACCTGCTGCACCATGTGTGACTGAGTCAGGGTAATGGTGCGGCGTGCTCTATCCCGAGTGATCTGCAAGCCAAGGTAGCTGCGCAGTTCACCCAGGTCTGTGCACATGTGTCTCTTCTGCAGCTCAAACTTCACGTAGGCGAGTCCAGCAGTGTCAGCTGTGGCAAAGACCAAGTCGTCGACGTACACGAGGATGTAGAACGGCGGCAGAGATGTGTCGGTGCGTAGAAACAGCGACGGGTCAGCAGTAGAAGGAGCAAACCCAAGAGCCGCAAGCGTAGTCCTCAGTGTGTCGTGCCACTCACGTGGCGCCTGGCGGAGACTGTAAACTGGACGCCGGAGGCTCCACAGGGTACCAGGAGGGAACGACCCAGTGAATCCAGGTGGGCGGCGCAGCCAGATCTCCTCGTACAGGCTGACCTGCAAGAAAGCTGTGCTAAAGTCGAGAGAGTGCAGCTCGTAGTCACGGTGAGCAGCAACGTGCAGCAGTGCCCGAAGAGTGGTCATCTTCGGGGTGGGAGAGAAGGTCTGAAAGTAGTCAACTCCCTGCCGCTGACTGAAGCCACGAGCCACGTAACGTGCCTTGAAGACAGGCGGAGAACCCGGCGGCCGCTTCACTCTGAAGATCCACATGCCACTGACGATGTTCGCCCCAGGCGGGGGAACCTCGTCAACGTAGGTGCCTGTGGACTTCCAGGAAGCCATCTCTGTGTCCATAGCTGCCTGCCACTGAGAGGAGTAGGGACCCTCTATCGCCTCCGCGTAGGAGCGCGGAGTCGGGACGTCAAGTGCATCCGGGTCTCCCTCAAGGGTAAGCAGTACGGACACGAGATGAGGTGAAGCAGCTGCCAGACACTGGAACTCCTCTTGCCTGTCCTCAAGGACGTCCGTGCCAAGGGCACACTCACTCCCGACGGACGGAGGACAGACAGACTCAAACTCAGCTACAAGACTAGCAGCGTAGTCTAGGCGACAACGAGCAGCAAAGTCGACGAGCTCAGCAACTAGGGCAGACGCAGTAGTGGACTCGAAAGAAGGGTCAGTGACGACAGTAGCCAGGAGACGCGTGACAGTAGGACTGGCAGCACGAAGAGAGTCCGACTCTGGGTCGGCAAGAGCAGGAAGAGAGGACTCAGGAGGAGAAGGCAAAGGGGCACGCAGAGGAGCAGTGGATGGACGCAGAGACATCCGGTGCGTGCCAGGGACAGGAGGAGGACGCTCACGCGAACCACGACCACTAGCGCGAGCAGCACGGACACGCGACGTAGGGCGAGACGCAGGCTCACGACGCTCAGCAAGACCTCCAGTAGGACCAGTGTAGGGAGAAGGAGCAGGCAAAGGGGAGGTAGGCTGCAACTGTAACTGTGACGGGACAGACTGTGGATACTCTAAGGGAGGAGGAGGACTAGTAGAAGGTGGAAGACCAAGAACCTGCTGTAGGAGTGGAACAAAGTACGGTCGAGGCCGCGTGGCGACGCCAGACACAGCAGGGACAGCACCAGTCAGTAGCAGCACCCGCTCCAGCAGCACCTCCAGTAGCTCCAGAACCTCCAGCAGCACCAGGAGTACCCCCAGCAGGACCGCCAGTGGTAGTCTCAGCGCCAACACCCTCAGCAGCACCAGCTCCAGTCGAACCCGCAGGCCCAGCAGCTCTAGTACTCCCAGTACCAGCACCTCCGGGACCAGCGACAGCAGCACCCTCAGTAGCCGAAGAACCTCCAGCACCAGCAGCACGGCTCCAGCGCCGGGCAAACCACTCGCGCAGAACCTGTGGAGAGAGTGGCTCCCGCAGAGACGAAGCAACCGGAGAACCTCCAGGCGTAGCACCTCCAAGCTCAGCACCCCCACGCTCAGCACCCCCAGGTGGAGCACTCCCAGGCACAGCACCCCAAGGGGTAGCACCCCCAGGCACAGCACCCCCAGGCTCAGCACCCCCAGGCCCAGCACCCCCAGGCTCAGCACCCCCAGTCGCAGTACCCCCAGGCCCAGCACCCCCAGTCTCAGCACCCCCAGGCGCAGTACCCCCAGTCTCAGCACCCCCAGGCTCAGCACCCCCAGCAGCACCAGAGTCACCAGTATCCTCGACAGGCTCGACTGCGTCAACCTGGGACACACCTGAAGGGGCAGGACCCTGAGGGTGGAGGGGGTCTACCGGGGGGGGACCTGGTACAAGGAAGAGAGGGGGGGGGGGGGGAGGGGCGGAGTGTGGTAGGGGAAGAGGCGGTAGTAGGGGACCGACTCGTCAAACGTGACGCCTGGGAGGACAGAACACGGCGAGAGGTGGGGTGGTAGAACTGCCACCCAGGCGCGTCAGGGGGGAACCCCAGGAAGACGCAAGGAGCAGCACGAGGGGACAGCTTGTCCGCAGACAAGTCGCAGACAAACGCACGAGATCCCCGGACCCGGAACGCCGACGCATCGCCTACCTTCCCCGTCCACAGCAAGGCTGGGGAGGTCTCCGCCCTGGAGACCCTGGGGTGTAGGTTGATCTGATGCGCCGTGTACCTCACCGCAAACGGCCACAGAAAATGGGGAGCAGCCGCATGCATCATAG